CAAGAGAAGGAATTGTCCTCCAGTCTTCAACAGAAGCTATGTTCTTTTCAAGAGGAAATGATGAAAGAGAGGAATCTCTTTGAGGAAGAATTAAAGCAAGTACTGGATGAGCTAGATAAATTACAGCAAAGGAGGAACAAGCTGAAAGGCTAGTTAGGCAGTTGGAAGAGGAAACAAAATCTTGAGCTGAAGAACTAAAACTCCTAGAAGAGAAGCTGAGAGGGAAAGAAGCTGAACTGGAAAAAACTAATGCTGCTCACAGTCAGGCCACCCTGCTTTTACAGGAGAAGTATGATAGTATAGTGCAAAACCTTGGAGATGTTACTGCTCAATTTGAAAGTTATAAAGCATTAACAGCTAGTGAGATAGAAGATCTTAAGCTGGAGAACTCATCACTTCAGGAAAAAGTGGCCGAGGGCGAGAAAAGTGCAGAGGACATTCATTATCAGATATTGGCAACTGAGACCTCAAATCAAGAATACGTAAGGATGCTTCTAGATCTGCAGACCAAGTCAGCACTTAAAGAAGCAGAAATTAAAGAAATCACAGTCTCTTCTCTTAAAACAATAACTGACTTGCAGAACCAACTCAAGCAACAAGGTGAAGAGTTCAAGAAACAACTGGAAGAGGAAGAAGCAAGAAAAGCTGGAAAAGAAAACACAGTGGCAGAGTTAACTGAGGAAATGAATAAGTGGCGTCTCCTTTATGAAGAACTATATAATAAAACGAAACCTTTTCAGCTACAACTGGATGCATTTGAAGCAGAGAAACAGGCTTTGTTGAATGAACATGGTGCAGCTCAGGAACAACTAAATAAACTAAGAGATTCGTATGCTAAATTAGTGGGTCATCAAAATCTAAAGCAAAAAATCAAGCATGTTGTGAAACTGAAAGATGAAAATAGCCAACTCAAATCGGAGGTGTCAAAACTCCGCTCTCAGCTTGCTAAAAGAAAACAAAGTGACACAAAACTACAGGAGGAATTGAATAAAGTTCTTGGTATCAAACACTTTGATCCTTCAAAGGCTTTTCTTCATGAAAGCAAAGAAAATTTTGCTCTCAAAACGCCGTTGAAAGAAGGCAATACAAACTGCTGTTGAGCTCCTATGGAGTTTCAAGAATGATGCAAGTAAACATCTGAAAGACCTGTTAAAGATTATTTCATTCTTACTATTTTTATTATTATTATTGCTATTGTTGATGTTATTATTATGTTTGTAATGAATATTTTTAATGTATTTAATATTAACTTCCTATTCTTAGGTATGTGAAGGGAAGTTCAATATATTTTACCAGTATGACTTCTGACATTTTATTTTCTGTTATCTGTACCTCCTCCTTGATGCTTACCTTTATCAACTCATTATACACCTTCTCACTGGCTTTCCAACTTACAACTCATCCCATCCAATCAACATTCCTTTAAAAATTTTTCAGATTATTATTCCCCTACTCTGAAACCTTAGACAGTTTTAAGATTCTAATCTATAGGTTTTTTAGTTTGATACCAGAGGCCTTTTCTAATCTGAACCTCTTAAGCTAGGCTAAAACACCTTGGCTTGTTCTTGCCTCTACCTGGATTGTCTAATAATGTTCATTCTGTTGTACCCATCATCCATTTATCCAGTTCAAATAAGAAATAAGGGTATGCCTAACTCCATAGTGATCTCTTTGTCTCCTGTCAGGGTCACTGAGTTGGTCAGTAATTTGCAGATTCCTAGACTCCATCTCAATCCTACTAAATTAAAATCTGGAGGTTAGCCTGAAAATCTGCATTTTTTTACAAACTGTGCAGTCAAGTCTTAGATACACTAAAAATCTGAGAAACTATCTTCAAGAGAATTTGTCTTAGAGTGCTTGGCATCTGACTACTGGCTGCTTGATTAATATTTGTGTAATATGAAATAAAACCACACATTAAATCATTAAAAAAAATGTTGAGGCTTGAATATAGACTGAAGCATAATTCCTTCTTACTTGAGGGACCACCAATCTTTTCTCTTAAGGCCTTCGACTGATGAATGAGGCTGATTCACATTATGGGGGATAATCTTCTTTACTCAAAGTTTACTGGTTCAAATATTAATCATGTCTAAGAATACTTTCACAGCAATATCTAAACATCTTTGACCAAAAACTGGGTACCATGACCTAACCAAGTGGACACATAAAATTAATCATCATGGGGTCAAACCTCTCTTTCTCATGGAGATATCCAATTGTCCTAGAAATATTTATTGAAAAGGCTATGTTTTACCCATTGAATGATCTTGACATTTTTGTCAGAAATCAATTAACCATATGATGTGGAGCATCTTTACATATGCTTCTTTGCGATCTATATATGTTCTTTGGTAAGGTGTCTATTCAGATCTTTTGCCTATTTTTCATTGGGGGTTTTCATTTTTCTTAGTGTTAAGTTTCAAGAGTTCTTTGTGTATTTTAGACATAAGTCCTTTATTAGATATGTATTTTGTAATTATTTTCTCCAAGTTTGTGGCTTGACTTTGCATTCTTTAACAGTGTCTTTCACAGAACATACGTATTTAAATTTAGTGTAGTCCAAGTTATTAACTTTTTGTTATGGCTTTGCTTTTGGTGTTGTATCTAAAAATACATTGCAAAATCCAAGGTCACATAAATTTTCTCCTATATCACCTTCTAGAAGTTTTATAATTCTGTGTTTTATTTTTGTCTATGATCCATTTTGAGTTAATTTTTGTGAAAGGTGTAATGTTTATAACTAGAATCATTTTTTGCATGTGATTATCCAGTTGTTCCAGCACTGTTAGTTGTGAAGACTATCTTTGTTCTATTGAATCACTTTTGCACCTTTGTCAAAGATCAGTTGACACTATTGTGTGGGCTAATTTCTAGGTTCTTTATTATATTTCATTGATGTATTTGTCTATTTTTTGCCAATGTTAAAGGATCTTACCTCATTTAACATACCTCTGGTTGTTGTAAATTTTTGTTTAGATTCCAGAGCTCCAAAGAAGATGATTCTGACAGTTTTTGCCAAATTAGTAATTGTTCTAGTGGGTAGTTTTGGTTTCTACCCTACCATTTTTGGTGATTGCAATGCAAGTTCATTTAATAGACAGCTGGGCAAAATGATTTTTAGGAGCAGAATGGAGCCTTAAGGCAACTGGACTATAATAAACATATATTAAAGTCTTATGTTATTAGAGATGTATTGGTAGTTGAAATTTAAATAAATCAATATCTAAGAGACATTTGCTGTAACATACACAAGTCTTTCGTTTTGAATTTCAACCCATCTAATGTCCAATGAGTCTATTGACCAAGTATATATTTGTAGGGAAAACGACTTATTATGTGAAAAATGCCTTATATTTTCTGAAAAATAATGACAGCAAAAATTAAACTAAATCCTGGTTGGGGAGATGGTACCATAAACTTAAGCTGATGCCAGCTATACCTCAAAGCTAAGAGAAAAAATGTCCATTTTTATTTCTCAGTAATAGCATACTAATAATGTTTTAAAAATAGTCACATTGTGTATAGACCAGTAAATTTGCATCAAGAGCCACTTTTGTTGTTATGTGAAAATATCAGTGGTAGGTTATATCATTGCTTTTCAAGAAATCAATATCACAAGGTTTTTTTTTTTTTGGTGATTATTTGAAAATCAATAGAAATACAAATGTATACAGGCTTAAATAAAAACACTAATACTGTGGTGTTAGTAAGAGTTTGCATTTCTAGTCTAACCAAAACAATTCTAATACATTTAATTCTTTAAGAAAAATGCCTTGCTGAGCAGCAGAGGTGCAGAATTATTTCTGAACTGCTGCCAGCAATGACATTTAGACATCACTACCTAAATTGCTTATTCTCCGAAATTGCTGTCCACATCTGCAGTCTCAAGTCATTTGTTTAGATCTAATATAAGTTACAACCAAATATTTTAACAAACAATATGTTTTGGTCTAAAAATCTTTTTTATAGAGCAACTATTGAGGGAGACAAAAGTCATATTTGAGAAGAATCTTGATTTCCCTTCCATTTTTCTAACAGCATGACTAGAATTTATAATTAATAGATTCCACAATGTCTTTCTCATGCTATTCTAAATGGAATCTTTTAATTGCTGTTATTACATTTTCTTGAAATTTCATGTGTATAATTAAAATGCCTTATTATAAAAGCTTAGTAAAAAAAAAAAAAAGAACTCCTATTTGAGATGACCAGGTTTCATTCAAGTGTGTCTTGACCAAGTTCATATCATTACCATCTTGATCATTATCTCTCAAGGAAGATAATGGGCTTTTTGTGCATGCAGTAGTCTTCTACATGTCAGCTTAGCATCATTATAACAGTTTTTAAGAGAGCAATAGTGAACATTTTAATAGCACCATTTTAAGTTTGAGACATTGTTTTTTCATTTGAGACATTGTTTTTTTCATTTACAAGATATTCCTTAATTCTTTTTAAATGCAATTACTAATTTAGGTTAAAAACTAAGGAAATGGATAAAGAAAAAAAAGACATAGAGATGGCCAACAGACATATGAAGACGCTGAATATCAGTAATCATCAGGGAAAGGCAAATCAAAGCCACAATGAGATATTACCTTACCCTGGTCAAAATGGCTAATGTCAAAAGGGCAAGAAATAACAAGTGCTGGCAAGGATGTGGGGAAAGAGGAACCCTCATGTACCATTGGTAGGAAAGAAAATTGGTGCAACCACTGTGAAAAACAGTATGGAGAGTTCTCAAAAAACTAAAAATAGGAAAACCATAGGATCCAATAATTTCACTACTGGGTATTTACCCAGAGAAAGTGAAAATACTAATTCAAAAAGATACAGGAACCCCTATGTTTATTGCAGCATTATTTATGATAGCCAAGATATGGAAGCAACCCAAGTGTTCATTGATAGATGAATGGATAAAGAAGATATGGTGTGTATATATATAGTTATATATAACTATAACTAGTATATATATATACACTAGAAATATATACAATGGAATATTGTTCAGCCATACAAAAAGAATGAGATCTTACCATTTGTGACAACATGGATGGACCTAGAGGGTATTATCCTAAGTGAAATAAATCAGATGGAAAAAGACAAATATTGTATGATTCCACTTATATGTGGAATCTAAAGAAACAAAGCAAAGGAACAAGCCAACAAAGAAACAAACAAAAACAGAAACAAACCCATAAATACAGAGAACAAACTTATGGTTGTCACAGGGGAGGATGGTCAGGCGATGGACAAACAGGGTGAAGGGGAGTAGGTAAGGCTTCCAGTTATGGAAGGAATAACTCACAGGGATGAAATGTACAGCATACAGAATATAGTTAATGATATTATTATAGGGTTGTATGGTGACAGATGATTGCTACACATGTAAGCATAGCATAATGTATAGAGTTGTTGAATCACTATGTTGTACACCTGGAATTAATTTAACATTGTGTGTCAACTATACTTCAGTAAAAATAAATAAATAAATAAATAAAAGGAAAGAAAAACATTGAGTTTTCCTTATAGTGATTGTTAATTAATGTTTTTTTTAAGATAGTTGAAATTTAAGTGTGCTTTATATTATCTATTTTCACTAAATTTTTAACCCAAGTGTAATGTCTTAAAAGGAGAAAAGTTAAAATTTTTTAGATTCATTTTTATATCAGTATGTCCAGTTCTGCAATCTTAATAATAGTACCCTTTATAAAATCAGGATCTATTAATTTAGAAGTAGGATATATAAACATAGTAAAAACTAGTCACCCACATAATTCTTAATGATTTAATTTGTCAAACCCTATGTTGTAAATACTGTAGTCAGACTAGAAAAAACCACAACCTTTATGACTTGATTTATTATTCTAAGACTTTTCTGTTATTTAGGTCATTCTAACACTAAAGGAAAATTTTTTAACTGCTCCAAAATACAAAGCCAAATTAACATAAAAATTTCCAATATAATTTACTGCAAGCACATTTAAAAATAAACTTTCAGTCCTAAATTCCCTATTCTTATTAAGGCTCAGGTACCAAGTGATGCTCCCATAGCACAGACTCCTTGGTTTTCTTTGGCAAAATGGGCTGGAAGCATTGGCCTATTGTCTTGCACTAAATTTTATAACTAGGAGAACATTCGTCCCCACTCTGGAGAGAAGCTCCTTTATTA